ACTAAAGAATCATAATTTGGTAAAGGTTAAGCGAAGGCGTGGCTGTCTGTTTTAAGTTAAGTACTTTTCACGGTGAAAACAACATACTCTAACCAGAATAGTCCTATAATAATATAAAGTGAAACGTTCTATCTGAGTAAAGAACAACAGTCACTCAAAGTGTACGAGAAAATCTGATGTATCTGGTGAAGGATAAGATAAAAATTTAAGAGATGATGAAATCTAAAATTATTCTATTTCTTAAGGATGAGATTTCTTTCTCATGTAGCTACAATTTCAATTCATGTCCAAACAAAAATAACGGTAAACCACGGAGAAAAAGTTGACTGCACGTAGTTAGGAGAAGAAAATGTTTGGATTTCCGATTTTTTTTTTTTGCAAACATCATTACTTTTAGTTTTAAGTACCAACATTTCTCAGAATAACAGGTTTATTATGTTTTTTTAAGTTTACAAAAATATTTTTACGGTGCATATTTTTCAGAGCCACTGGCTTTCCTCAATATTTCGCAAAGTAAATTCCTGCCCAAGTTTGTTTAAACTAGAGCTCATTTCTACGTTTAATCATCATTTTATCGTATTTAAAACAAAGATCCTCTCGTTCTCCAGTTATTGTAATGGATTTCTCATTTACGGTAACTCTTTGCCTCCGTGTTCTTGTGCACGACTTCAGCGCACGACATGACGGCCATTTTACTCTCCGTTGTTTAGTTTAAGTTGTAGATTTCCTTAAATCACAATCTTTTTAATTTGAAGATCTCAGATAATTTTTTTGGGGAATTTTTTCTCTCAAGAAAAAAATTCCTGGAAAAAATTCTTGGTGACCTTAATATCAACAAAAATTCTGCTTCTTTAAAGATTAAAAAGAAAAAGAAAACCGACCAATGGGGCCTGAGCCCCTCCGATGTGCTTTAACAACTTAAATTAAACGACGGCTGGGGGATACAGCAGTCAGACCACTGAGGTTTTTTATAAGAGAACATGGCAAAATTACACTAGAAGTAGGTTCGCTCCCATTGTTACTAGAAACAATAGGTTCACCCAGTACATGTCTCAACCTCGTGGGAATGTTTAATAAGCACTTGATTGGAATTCCACCCCTGTACAAAACATTTTGAATTGTTTTTCTTAATTGACTTGCTCTCCTCTAAATAAATGTTCTTTGACGTAAAGGTAAGCTTTTCCTTCTCATATATTTCTTGCCACTCAAGGTCAAAACTCAGACTAAGCAATTATTCTTTTGAGATTCATCAAGGTTATACAAGGGCCGAGAAAAGCGAGCAAACTTGAATTGACATAAAACATCAGAAAAAAAGTATTATGTTTTAACAACATCTGTAGATTAAAATCTGTATGCAATTATTGTGGTGATCTTTCAAAAATAAAACATCTGTTTTCTATCTCTTTAAGGTTTGAACCCTAACAAGGAAGAAGTTCAAGATATTTTGGAATATAAATGAAAATATATGAATAAACTTTTGAGTCGAAACCGACCTATATCGTATTGCTTTTGGTATTTATTATTTCTTCTTCTCTCTGACACTGCAACTACACTACAAATCCCTTTTCTCTAATTAAATTAGATAGAATGATAGGACACTTTGACAGATTATAGTAGGACTTTTACTTTAAGCTCTACATTTGACAGACTTTTCAGTTGCACTATTACTGCTAGACTTGAAAGACTTTTACAACGAATTTAATTTGCACTACTATTACTAGAATTTGACTGATTTCAACGACTTATTCAATTGCACTACTACTGATAGATTTTGAAACGACTTTTTATTGGCACTACTATTGTTAGACTTTGACAGATATTAAAATGACTTTTTATTTGCACTACTATTGCTAGACTTTGACAGATTTTAAAACGACTCTTTCAATTGCACTACTACAGCTAGACTTTGACAGATCTTGAAACGACTTTTCAATGATTGGACTATTATTGTTAGACTCTGACTGATTTTAAAACGACTTTCTATTTGCACTACTTATACTTGACTTTGAGAGATTTAGCGACGACTTTTTCAATTGCACTACTATTGCTAGACTAACAGATTATAAAACGACTTTTTCAATTGCACTTCTACTGAGAGACCTTGACAGATTTAGAAACGACTTTTCCAATTGCACTTCTGTTGTAGACTCTGACTGATTTTAAATCGACTATTCCAATTGCACTACTTAACCTTGACTTTGACACGACTTTCTACTTGCACTTCTATTGCTAGACTTTGACAGGTTTTGAAACGAATTTTCCATGATTGCACTATTGCTAAACTCTGACTGATTTTAAAACGACTTTCTATTTGCACTACCATTACTAGACTTTGAAACGACCTTTTCAATTGCACTATTATTGCTAGACTTTGACAGTTTTAAAGATGACTTTCTATTTGCACTACCAGTTCTTGACTTTGACAGATTTTGTAACGAGTTTTCCATGATTGCACTACCATTGCTAAACTCTGACTGACTTTAAAACGACTTTCTATTTGCACTACTATTACTAGACTTTGAAACGACTTTCTATTTGCACTACTAATACTTAACTTTGACAGATTTAGAAACGACTTTTTCAATTGCACCACTATTGCTAGACTTCAACAGATTTTAAACCGACTTTCTATTTGCACAACTAGTACTCGACTTTGACAGATTTAGAAACGACTTTTTTCAATTACACTACTATTGCTAGACTTTGACAGTTTTAAAACGACTTTCTATTTGCACTACTAAATCTTGACTTTGACAGATTTTGAAACGACTTTTCAATTGCACTACTATTGCTAGATTTTGACAGTTTTAAAAATGTTTTTTTA